TGTGTGTGTGTGTGTTGTTTCACACAAATAGTAAATAATAAAAGAATAAAATTAAAGTTCAGGCTGCTTCAGCTCCGATATTTGAACTCTGAACTTGAATAAAGTCCTGCAGACATCAACATGACAGTTAACACACACACTCATCATCTGTGACCCACAAACACCCTGCAGACAGTGTGTGTGTGTGTGTGTGTGTGTGTGTGTGTGTGTGTGTGTGTAATAAACATGTGACTAAATAATGCATGAATGTTTCTCGGCATGAGCTTTTACCAACAAACTGATTCAGTGTGAGTTTGACCCGATGTTCAGCAGTCACGCTCCACGACCTTTGACCTTTCTGGAACCAAACTTTTATTTTGGTGATAAAATATTAAAGGCTGACAWGTGGTGGTGGTCCTGCATTCAGAACAGGTCTGGTTCTGTGTGGACTCAGGGACACTTCCTCACATCATCTGTAAACACAGCTCACTGTATCATCCATTAATACTGCTTAAAGCTCTATCAGACAAAGAAGAACCGTTTGGATCATTTGAAATGGACTGAGGTGAGGTGGAGAACTGATCTGTGGTCAGAAGGATCCAAATCCTTTGTACTAAAGAGAAGGACCATCCAGACTATTCACAATTTAAATGTTTGTTTCTCTGATGGTATAGGGGTGCATTAGTGTCTCTGAAAAAGAAGCAGCAAAAACCACAGCAATCAGCCGTCGGTCTCATCTTTCTCTCAAACTAAAAAAAACGTAACCTTCCTGACCTCCTTTCTGATCGAAGCACAAAGTTATCTGACGAGTAACTACAATTTACTGAAAGAAGAAGAAAAAACACRTAAAAGTTGGAGTTTGGTGGAGCTGGTGAGGCAGTGAGAGGACAGATTCATTAGATCTGTGACATTTACCATGTTTGGATTTTATAGTTATGGTTAGTCTGCAGATCGATCAGGTTTAGTTCAGAACATGGTTTTAAGGAGAACAGCACAGAAGGACACAACATCTCTTATTTCTCTCTTCTCCCTCCTGCAGTCAGAAAAATAAAACATTTCCTCTCTGCATGTGTTTTRTGTGAGAAGTTCAATCCTTTGCACCATTTTCTCCAGAGGAATTCGAAGYACCCGGATGTTCCACTTCAGGTGCCCACGGACTCTGAAGGGCCCAGGACATTGAGGGGCGGGCGTGGACGCAACGGACGCGGGGTACGCGTGGGTCGTGTCCCCCGCACTTCCAGTATCTGTGCCCTCTGTCCTCTGCACGATTTTTATCCGTTACAACTGTTTAATTCGTTGTCAACACGTGTTTTTACGAGCCGTCTTTGAACGCATCACAGCTCGCTAACACACAGATCATGGAKCGACGTGGTGTTGTCGAACAGAGCCTCACGGGTGTGTGTTTGTAACCAGCACCGCAAAGAGCTGAAAACACAGTTTTTAACCAACAAACCGTGTAAGTTGTGTAACTCCTGTTGGAGGAAGCTAATGTTAGCTAAATGATGCTAATGCATCCCGTTTAGCTAGTAAACATTGTTGTTAGCCGTGCTGCATCCCTTGCTAGCTAATGCTAATCTACTCAATCCTCTTTTATTTTTGTGCAGAAGTTGTGTACTTTGTTTTCCATATTTAAAATAAATCTTTATAATTTGCCACAGTACAAAGACCTGGACCAGTTCCAGCAGGGACCACGTGATGCAGTCTCAGGTGAGGAGAAATGAAACCAGGCAGGGATCAGGACAGTTTCACATATTTCACARGTACTCACCTTCACACTACAAAATCATTTTATTTTATTATGGTTTCTGCTTTGGTGCCAAATAAATCTAGAACTGATAATATTATTTTATTTAGTTAAATAGATGATTTATTCAAAAGTAAAAACTGACATGAAATTTTAAATGCACAGTTTCTACATTCATTTTTGTTTATTATCAGATATTTGATTAAAGTAAGCAGGTGTAGGTCATACCATTTTATTTTGATTAGTTTTTTGCGGTCACGTTAGACTAAAATGTTGATGTGTTTAGTGTCACTTTCTATGTTTGTCATTCAGTTAAATTGTGTGATTTATGACCCTGTTACCTTCTAGTTTCAGCTCCATGTTGTGAGCTGAGACATTTTTTACATGAATGCTGTTGGCCATTTGGAACGTAGTAATCTGTCTACCTTTTGTCAGATTTTAGACTTTATTAGTAAATAGTTTAAAGAATTAAAAGTGAATAACCTGGAGCTGTACTGTGGCTGTTAGGTGAGTCACTCAGCAGACGTCTGATGTTTCTGATGGTTGCTCTCTTCACTCAGGGCACCAGCAGAATAACCTTTTAAATACGGCTCCTGATCCCTCAAACAGTCAGATTGTAAATGTTCTCAGTCAGAACCAGAAGCCCGGGAGCAGATCTCATGGTGGATTAGGAACAAAGCCACCTGTCCATCAAAACGTCTTTAGAGCTGTCAATCACTGGCTCGGGTTGGTCGGAGTCACCATCAGCCTCTGGTGGACCAGACTCTTACTCTGTGGCTTCCAGCCAACATGATGTGAGGTCATGGTTTTATTACAAGACGTGTTCTGGCTGARGGTCCAACATCACATCCTGTTTGTTGGAGCCTAAATGTTGTGACGTCATCGTTAGCAGAACAGCAGACCATCATGTCTCCACCTCCGTGCTTGATGATGGGGATGGTCTCATCATCTCTCTTCTTCCCAACAGGTTGGGTTGTGGCTAAAAGCTGGGTTTTGGTCCTCCAGTAAACTTCAGGTGTCTCTCTGGGCTTTAGCAGGAGAGTCTTGTTGCAAAATTTAAATCCTTTGCATTTCCAAACTATAATTTAAATTAGCTTTAAACAGACAAGATGTTGTTTAAATGCTTCTAAATTTATTGTGACGATAATTCAGATTTTACTGATTTGAATTATTTGTTTTGTTTCCTGTTTTGACAAAGCGAAGGGGTTTCGTGGGATTAGACAAACGTACGAGCAGAAAGACGATCCGGGAGTTAGGGAAGGCCTCGTGCAGCTGCAGAGCTGGGGGAGGGTGGGAATTTTATCTTTAGGGGTCAGGAGGTCAGCGGAGATGGTTTTAACTCACTTCCTGTTTCTGCTGCTGGGATGACCAAATCTGCTCTCCCTTCTCTTTGGAATTCACATCCATCCTTCCCTCCCACACTCCTTCATCTGACCGTCCACACGTCTGTCTGCAGCTTCTCTCCATTCAGACATTTGACCAGCGTGGAGCTAACAGCATCGCCTGTAACAAAGACAACCAGAAACTAACATGTTGTCTTTCCTGGTTGTATAAAAACAGAAAGCGTTCACAAAAACAAAAGTTTAAAGTCTTTAATAATGTGGGTCATGACCACAACTCTACAGCTCCAACACACTCATTCTGTGCGTGCGTCATCCACACACACACACACACACACTTTCTGTGATTTCCTTATGACACTTTGCATCCTGTAGAGAATGCATGGAGGAAGTGATTGAATAATTCAGCATATTTCCTGAACAGTAATGGTCTGCTGTTGATGGCTGTGTGCTGTTGAGCAGCGAGGTTAAGTGCAGCGTGCGCTCAGACCATCCGGGTCGGCTGTGATGAACTTCTTATTTAAAGCCACAAAAACCCATCGAAACTGTGAAATAATGAAGCAGAAATAAGAGAAAGACGCTGAAACTGCAAACATGTCCAGTGAAAACAGCTGAACGTGGCGTGGGCGGAGCCTCGGGGGTATTTTCAAACTAAGCAGGAAATATATATATTTAGCTGTTTGGTCCAGGAAGGATGAAGAAAATAAAGGAGGGGTGGTTGTTCAGATATTAGTGAGACTTTCCCACAGTCTGAGCTGGAAACCACTGGATGGAGCCCTGACAGCTGGCCCCCGCTAAGGACTCTGGGTAATGGGCTCAACAGGAAGTAGAGGTTAGAGTTCAAGCACAAACATGTTATCGGCTCAGGCTTGTCTAAAAATACCACCGACATCACGACAGCAACAATAACTTACCCAGAAACATTTATTTTATTCTTATTCATGTCGAGCAAACTTCATATTTTCTGTTAAGTCCTGTTAACTTGTCAGTTTCTGTCATYTGGTCTTATCTGAGTTAGATCTTCTGCTCCCAGGTTTGTTGTAAAGAAGTCGTTCCTGAATGTCTCCCATCAGAAAACCTGTGAACAGCCGGCCTTAAAAACCCTTACTCCGCCC